TGCCAGGACTATGAACCTGAGAGACCAGGTTCGAATCCCCACTCAGCCATGAAGCCTTGGGCCAATCACCGCCTCTTAGCCTAAACCACCTCGCAGGGTTGTTGTTGTGGGACTGAATGGGGAACTATGTGCACCACCTTGGGCTCCTCGGTGGGGAAGATGCGATGCAAATGTAAGAAATAAATAAAATAAAATCCAGTGCTACATTATAAGGGGAGTCGACAGACCGGAATGCCAAATCTAAGGCTTTGACAGTTCACATCCTCATCGCCATTTACCCAGGTGGGATTGCTCTGACTTAAGGAGATTGCCAATCTAGGAGCGTCTTAAATATGAAACTCTCTTGTGAGCAGAGGTTATCCCTACGAATATCGCTACACCAACCTCTGAGACTGGAGAGAACCGCTCTTCTTAGCAATGCACCAAACTGCGAAAGGAAACCTGTGCTTTGCAGGGTGAACCTGCTCAACAACCTAGTTGACCCACAAAATGTGTATTGTGTATTGTGTGGTTTATGCAAAACGTTGGTCAGACAACAAAAGCTTTGGAAAGGGTGCAACACAGGAAACCCATGAATAGCACCCATAATTGCAGGAAATCAATCTCTGAAGTTGCTTGCTCTCTCTTTTTCTCGACAGCCGCACTTTCTCAGGTCGGTGTTGCAGGATGACAAGGAAATCCTTCGCTCCCTTCTCAAGTAAATATCAGCTGATATTAACGTGAACTAACAATCCCCTGTCAAATTATCCAGCTTCCTCTCCTTAGAAGCAGGCCATCGCGTAACCAAACCATCTTTCCAGGGTGACATTCATTCTGGGGCCGCACGAGCTCAGGCTGAGACGTGCTGGTGGGAGCCACATACAAATACAGCTTTGGAACTCCCTGCCTCATGAAATCAGGCAGGTGCCTTCACGGTGCACTTTTCGGCACCTGCTAAAAACCTTCTCACTTGGGCAAGCCTACCCAGATTAGAGTTCCAATCTGTTTTTACTGTTATTTTAACTTTTTGAAAAGTTTTAAATTGTTGTTGCCGTTTCTTTTTCTTGGTGACAGGTATACTGCTTTATCTTTTCTTGTAAACCGCTTTAAGGTTTGTTTGTACAATATACGATATCTTTATTGTCATTGTCCCATACAGAACAATGAAACTGGAAATCTACATAAAACATTCAGAAACCCCTAAAAACTCTGAAACCCCATTTTAAAATACAATATACTACAGAGACTCCTTATGCTGCCTTTAGAACCAGAATTGCATTTGGGTAGAAACTGTTTCTCAGGTGGCTAGTCCTGGTCTTTATAACCCTGGACCTTCTTCCAGAAGGCAGAAGCTGAAAGAGATCATTTCCGGGGTGCGCACTATCCTGCGCTATCTCTGCGGCTTTCTTATGACACCTGACAGCATAGATTTGCTCTAAGGTGGGAAGAGCACGCCCAGTTATTCTCTCTGCAGTCTTTACAACCCTGTACTTTCACTCTCAAGAGGTGTAAAAAAATTATAAATAAAATAAATAAAAATGCCGGCCAAGGAAGATGCTGCCATGCTTGGGTAGCCAGTCTCTCTGCCTCCGAGCTGCAAGGAGCTAGACAAGGAGGCCTCTCGAATCCCAGAGCTAAGGCAGCAAGTGGGGAAAGGGACCTCCTTTACTGCTCAAACTGCAGCCCCACCGTCCGGCTCTCAGCCTGACAGCAAGGGGGCAGCCACTGGGGGGGTCTGTACCTGAAAATCCAGAGTCCTTCTCCCCTTCGCTGGCAGGGGGGCGAGGCCTCCTGCCAGAGCCTCTCGTCATCGTGGGTTTGGACTGCTCCGTGTGGCCCTCAGAGCCTGCCTTCAGGGACCCAGGCAGGGCGGTCTTCTCCTTCCCAGGCTTAGAAGGGTGCGCAAGCGGCGAGGTCTTCTCCGAAGGCATGGCTGAGACTCTCCTGGGTTCCTGAGGGGCAGAGAGACAAAAGCAGGGGTTAGTGGAACAGGAGAACTTAGCATCGTAGAACCGTCGAGTTGGGAAGGGACCCCGAGGGTCATCGAGTCCAAGCCCTGCCATGAATCCCTGACAGATGGCCACCCAACTTCTGCTTAGAAACCTCCAAGGAAGTAGAGGCCACAACCTCTCGAGGGAGTCTTTAAGGCAGGGGCCAGCAAACCTTTTCAGCAGGGGGCCGGTCCACTGTCCCTCAGACCTTGCGGGGGGCTGGACTATATTTTTTTGTGGCGGAAATGAACGAATTCCTATGCCCCACCCAATAACCCAGAAGTGTATTTAAAATAAAAGGACACATTCTGCTCATGTAAAAACACGCTGATTCCCAGACCGTCCGTGGGCCGGATTGAGAAGGCGACTGGGCTGGATCCAGCCTGATGGGAAAGTTTTGCTTCTGCACATGACTCTGGCAAACCGTTCAAAGCTAGAATGTTCAGTTCACATTGAGTTCATGAAACATCGTATCCTGACGTGTTCCCCAATTGCATGGTTGACCACATCTACGGAATACAATAGTTATGCTCTGTTAAGTTTTGCTATATCAATCCACTAGTAGTAGTTTATATGCTCCTTTTAAGTTTTGCTATATCAATCACTAGTTATAGTTTAATAAGGAGGTTTTCATGCCTGTCCAATTCTGTGTTCCCTTTCCCAACCTTTAATCTATTGATGATTAATGTCTATATGCAGCCCTTGCATTGTATTTGCGTTAACCAATCAGCAACAAGCACATATGTGGCAATGCTGTAATATTCAATAAAAGGGACTCCCCGAGACATGCTCGGTAGATGCCTCCCATATGACACTTGCCATTCGTCTGTCGTTTATTTCAACCCAACACAGGCCATGCTTTAGGGATCTGCAGATTCACTAACCTTGGGGAAACCACCAGCCTTATTCATTAAAGAAGAAGAAACTACAGTCATACCTCGGGATAAATGTGCTTCAGGTTGAGCATTTTCAGGTTACGCTCCGCGGCGACCCGGAAGTAACGGAGCGCGTTACTTCCGGGTTTCGCTGCTTGTGTATGCGCAGACGCTCAAAATGACGTCACGCCCATGTGCAGTAGTGGCGGATCGCGACTCGCGCACACGCAGTCACGGGTTAAACTCTACTCAGGATGTGAACGGGGCTCCGGAATGGATCCCATTCGCATCCGGAGGTTGGGAAACTTAAGAAGAGCTCTGATGCTGGATCAGGCCAAAGGGGGCCCATCTAGTCCAGCATCCTGTTCTCACAGTGGCCAATCAGACACCCATTATGGGAAGCCAGCAGGCAGGATCTGAGCACAAAAGTAACTCTCCCCTCCTGTGGTTTTCTGCAACTGGTTTTCCGAGCAGAGCCACCCTAGCTAGTAGCCATCGATAGCCCTCTCCTTCTCCATGAATTTGTCCAGTCTCTTTTTAAAGTCATCTAGACTGGTGGCCACGGCTGCCTCCTGTGGCAGGGAGTTCCATAGTTTAACTTTGCGAGGAGGTGGAGGTCAATGCAGTGCTTGGCACTTAAAGCTGGGAGCATGCATGTGCTTCCAGGACCAAACACTCCTCGAATCACAGAACGGTGTCGTCAGGAGGGAACCCAGGGGTCATCCAGCCCAACCCCTTTGCACGCAGAAGATTTGCACGATGGGGGAAGTGACCGTGCTGGATGCCTTTGGCTCCCCGTGATTTCCCCCCTACTGACAGGTTTAATTTTGTACAGAGGAGCAAGCTGTCACGGAAAGGCCTTCCAGAAACAGGCTTCTTCACTTCCTTCTCTGCTGTTTTGGGAGAAAGAGGTCAGAGAGAGAAATCGATAGCGGCTTCTGCTGCTGCCAAGAAAGTGTGGCAGGAGGCGAAGGGGGGGGGAGTTCATTGTTCCCCTTACCTGCAGACAGGCCAGAACAGGCTGAAACTGGGAGGGGGGAGAATTCAGATAAGCATCAGGACTACACTAGACAAACAGGCTTAGCGTTTACTCATTATTCTTTCCTCCAAGGAACCCAATGCATTGAACTTTGTTCTCCATCCTGTAAACACCACAGTCTCACAACCGTCCTGTGAAGTAGGCTGGCCTAAGAGGCAGGGAGGTGGTGCCCGGTGACCTCCAGGGCTAAATGGAAGCAGCGTGGCCTAGTGGCTAGGATGGCGGGAGTACAGACCAGGGTTCAGATCCCCAACTCGGCCATACGCTCACCGAGATTGTCACTTGCTCTCGGCCTGACATACCTCGCAGGGTTGTCGCTTTTGTGGTGGTTTAAAGGGAAATGGGGAGGAGAACCATGCAAATGTCAAGTAAATAATCATGGCTCGTTTAATTGGTAGAGCATGAGACTATAATAATAATAATAATAATAATAATATAATAATAATTTTTATTTATATCCCGCCCTCCCCAGTCGAAGCCGGGCTCAGGGCGGCTAACAACAATAAAACAGTACAAAAGTACAGCACAACGAACACTCTAAAATCATTCATTATAAAATTAATTTATAATTAAATTATTATAAATTATTATAATAATAATTTATTATTTATACCCCGCCCATCTGGCTGGGCTTCCCCAGCCACTCTGGGCAGCTTTCAACACAATATTAAAATACAGTAATGCATCAAACATTAAAAGCTTCCCTAAACAAGGCTGCCTTCAGATGTCTTCTAAAAGTCTGGTAGTTGTTGTTCTCTTTGACATCTGGTGGGAGGGCGTTCCACAGGGCGGGCGCCACCACCGAGAAGGCCCTCTGCCTGGTTCCCTGTAACTTAGCTTCTCGCAGGGAGGGAACCGCCAGAAGGCCCTCGGAGCTGGACCTCAGTGTCCGGGCAGAACGATGGGGGTGGAGACGCTCCTTCAGGTATACTGGACCAAGGCCGTTTAGGGCTTTCAAGGTCAGCACCAACACTTTGAATTGTGCTTGGAAACGTCCTGGGAGCCAATGTAGGTATTTCAAGATGGGTGTTATGTGGTCTTGGCGGCCGCTCCCACTCACCAGTCTAGCTGCCGCATTCTCAGGGCTGTGGGTTGGGCGAAATATTCCTGACTTGCAGGTTCGAGGAGATGAGGCTCGTGGTCCCTTCCAACTCCACAACACGGTGACTCTTGAGGAGGCCCACGAGGCATTTATCTGCCGCCTCGACTCCCTTTGCCTGCTCCTCCAGAATGAGCACGGCAACCTGGTTTTGGCAGGAGCACTCTATGCATGAGAATGTGCGTCTGTGCAAAGTTCCACCTTGCCAGCGCCAGCGAGGGAGGGAGGGGGCGGCGGGGCACACGGCCCGCAATGTGTCTGCCTCCTCCGCCTCCGCCTCTTGCCTTGCCATGTGCTCGAGGACATGCGGAAGGAAGGGCCAGGCAGCAGAAAACCAAAAGCGGGAGCAGGCTGCAGATTAGAAGCAGCTGCTGTGCCCTGCTCCTCCTGCACTGAAACAGGGAGGGCTAGCTATTACATAACAAGGAGGAGGCTGCTGCTGCTGCTGCTCCAGAGCCTCACACCTAGCTGGGCGGATGCTTTCTGGGGCTTGGCCACACAGCCTCGCCCGGAAGGAAAGAGGAAACAAGCGTCTTGCCTGCGTAGGGAGCACGCAGCTGAGAACGTGGGGAAGAGCCTGGCTGCTGCCAAACAACCTCAAGAAGTGACAGGTCCAGGTAGACTGCCTCTGGACCTGGAAGCTCCTTACGAAGAGCCCGGCTGATGATCAGGCCAGCAGCCCACCTAATCCAGCGTCCTGCTCTCACGGTGGCTGGCCGGATGCCCCTAATGGGAAACCTGCAAGCAGGATCCGGGCCCAAGAGGGAGTGCCACAGTTTCAATCTAAGCAGGAGAATGTTCCTGGCTAGCAATGTGAAATGAAGGGTTCCCCTCTGGGACTTGGGGGGGGGTGTCATGGGCATGTTTTAATTTCTTTTCTTTTTTTAAGCATTTTTATTAAACATAACATTTCAACAAAACATAACATTTCAGCATAACAAATTAGTAGTCCAAATAATCAAATACATTATTTTTTCCCCTTTCCCACCCCACCCAGGACTTCCCTCAGCTCCCCTCTCTGGTTTCTATGCACATATTGTTCTGTGCATGTTATAAAATTGTACATAACCTTGCCTTATCTATCATGCGTTCAACTAATAAACTTGTGGGTGTTTATTCAAAACCTGCCAAGGAATCCAGATCATGACATGAGCCAACAGTGTTGACATGAGCCAACAGTGTGACGCGGCAGCTAAAAAAGCCAATGCAATTCTGGGCTGCATCAATAGGAGTATAGCATCTAGATCAAGGGAAGTAATAGTGCCACTGTATTCTGCTCTGGTCAGACCTCACCTGGAGTACTGTGTCCAGTTCTGGGCACCACAGTTCAAGAAGGACACTGACAAACTGGAACGTGTCCAGAGGAGGGCAACCAAAATGGTCAAAGGCCTGGAAACGATGCCTTATGAGGAACGGCTAAGGGAGCTGGGCATGTTTAGCCTGGAGAAGAGGAGGTTAAGGGGTGATATGATAGCCATGTTCAAATATATAAAAGGATGTCACATAGAGGAGGGAGAAAGGTTGTTTTCTGCTGCTCCAGAGAAGCGGACATGGAGCAATGGATCCAAACTACAAGAAAGAAGATTCCACCTAAACATTAGGAAGAACTTCCTGACAGTAAGAGCTGTTTGACAGTGGAATTTGCTGCCAAGGAGTGTGGTGGAGTCTCCTTCTTTGGAGGTCTTTAAGCAGAAGCTTGACAACCATGTCAGGAGTGCTCTGATGGTGTTTCCTGCTTGGCAGGGGGTTGGACTCGATGGCCCTTGTGGTCTCTTCCAACTCTATGATTCTATGATTCTATGATTTTGTTGTCCTTTTAAGTAATCTGTAAAAATGTTCCCATTCTTCCTTGAAGTCACAATTCTCCTTATTACGCAGTTTGTTTGTCAATTTGTCCAATTCCACATAGCACATCAATTTTTCTTGCCACTGTTCTTTCGCTAGGTTA